AATTCTTTTTTTTTAACCCTCAGGGGTTAAATTAATTAAATTAATTAATTAAATTATTTTTAAATTATATATTTAGATAGCTGGGGTAGGTGGAAGTTAGTGGGGAATTGGGGGATTTGACGTTAGGCTAACTAGGGGTTAACGTTAAAAAAAGTTTTAAAAGAAACTTTAAAAGTTAAAAATTAAGCTTAAAAAAATGTTTTAATAACATTTAAGTAATAAAAACAAAAAAACACACTTTACCTAGTCCAAATAAAAATTAACCCCTTCCCTGCCAGTCGATCACTGCCTACAGCGATCAAATAGAGATCACAGTATTATACTGTGATCTAATTTTTTTTAACCCCTGAGGATTAACTTTTATTTTTTTAACCCTCAGGGGTTCAATTTATTTAATTAATTAATTTAAATATTTTATAACTATATATTTTGCTAGCTGGGGTGGGTGGGAGTTATGGGAAAATGGGGAATTTACTGTTAGTGCTGCGTACTGCTAGTTAGGGGTTAACAGTAAAAAAAATAGCTTAGAAAAATGTTAAATCTGTAAAAAAGTTTTAAGAAAGTTTAGGAAAGTTTAAAAAAAATTTATAAGCAAAACAAAAGTTTAAAAACTAGTTTTTAAAAGTAAAAAAGTTATAAAAAGTAAAAAAATACATTTTAAAAACGCTCATTACCACTACACCTGGAACAAACTAGAGAAAAAATTATCCCACGCCAAGGTTCAAAATATGCCTTTTGAATTACCCCAGGGTGTATTCTTTAATAAATAGTATGTGTTTGTGGGGAAGTTTCAATAACCAACCGTCTAAACTACTCCAAATTGGAACATGGACACAGCGTAAAACTTCAAAGTTAGAAAAAAACTGAATGGCTGCGTCTCAAATGCGCCCCTTCAACATCCACATATACCTGGCAAAGGTACATACGGGGGTATTGCTGTACTCAGCTGACATAGCTGAGCAACATATGAAGTATTATACAGTCATAGCACACATAAGGTTTGCAAAATATGCTGTGCAAACTCACTTTGTATGTCAAAAAGGCAGAAAAAATGCTTATTACCACTACACTTGGTACAAGCTAGCGGAAAAATGATCCCACGCTGAGGTTCAAAATATGCCTTTTTGAAATACCCTGGGATGTCTTCTTTAAGAAATGGTATGGCTTTATGGGGAATTTGGATTATATAGCCTGGTAAAATACTCTAAAATGGGACATAGGCACAGCATAAAAATTCAAAGTTTGAAAAAAACTGGAATGGCTGTGTCCCAAATGTGCCCCTCCGATGTCCACACATACCTGGCAAAGGTACATACGGGGGTATTGCTGTACTCAGCCGACATAGCTGAGCAACATATGAAGTATTATACAGTCATAGCACACATAAGGTTTGCAAAATATGCTGCGCAAACTCACTTTGTATGTCAAAAAGGCAGAAAAAATGCTTATTACCACTACATCTGGTACAAGCTAGCGGAAAAATGATCCCACGCTAAGGTTCAAACTATACCTTTTGAAACACCCTGGGGTGTCTACTTTAAGAAATGGTAGGCCTTTGTGGGGTAGATTGAATTTAAAACCTGCGAAGATGCTTGGAAATTGCACATAGGCCCAGCGTCAAAATTCAAAGTTTGGTAAAAACGGATATGGCTTGGTCTCCTATATGGCACTGTAGCTTCACAAAATAGTGACAAAGACATTCATTGGGGGTGTATTTTTACTCAAAAGACTTAGCTGAGCATAATTTGGGAGGTTTGAACTTAGTGGCACATATGAAATATACAAAACGCCCAGCAAAAATGCAATCTGTATGTAAAAAATGCACAAAATAATTTTTTACCACATACTTTGGCATATATTGGTGAAAAAATGGGGGTATGTTAAGGCACAATATGCACCTTATGAGATACCCTGGAGTGTCTACTTTTACAAATGGTAGGCCTTTGTGGGGGTTTTTTGAACAGTCAAACTGTTATAATACCCCAAATGGAAGCTAAGGCTCATTAAATCCATCTCTCAAAATTCTACTGTGAATACTGTAAAGGACAGGTCTCCTATATGGCACTGTAGCTTCACGAAATAGTGCCAAAGACATTCATATGGGGTGTCATTTTACTCAGAAGACTTAGCTGAGCATAATTTGGGGGGTTTGAACTTAGTGGCACATATGAAATATACAAAACGCCCAGCAAAAATGCAATCCGTATGTAAAAAATGCACAAATTTTTTTTTTACCACATACTTTGGCATATATTGGTGAAAAAATGGGGGCATGTTAAGGCACAATATGCACCTTATAAGATACCCTGGAGTGTCTACTTTTACAAATGGTAGGCCTTTGTGGGGGGTTTTTGAACAGTCAAACTGTTATAATACCCCAAATGGAAGCTAAGGCTCATTAAATCCGTCTCTCAAAATTCTACTGTGAATACTGTAAAGGACAGGTCTCCTATATGGCACTGTAGCTTCACGAAATAGTGCCAAAGACATTCATATGGGGTGTCATTTTACTCAGAAGACTTAGCTGAGCATAATTTGGGGGTTTGAACTTAGTGGCACATATGAAATATACAAAACGCCCAGCAAAAATGCAATCCGTATGTAAAAAATGCACAAAATTTTTTTTTACCACATACTTTGGCATATATTGGTGAAAAAATGGGGGCATGTTAAGGCACAATATGCACCTTATAAGATACCCTGGAGTGTCTACTTTTACAAATGGTAGGCCTTTGTGGGGGTTTTTTGAACAGTCAAACTGTTATAATACCCCAAATGGAAGCTAAGGCTCATTAAATTCATCTCTCAAAATTCTACTGTGAATACTGAAAAGGACAGGTATCCTGTATGGCACTGTAACTTCACGAAATAGTGCAAAAGACATACAATGGGGGTGTCATTTTACTCAGCAGATATAACTGAACACAAAATAAAACTTTGTACAGGAATAGCACACACCAACTTTACAAAATATACACGAGAATTTCTCTGTTATAAGTTTGTGTGCCAAAAACCAAAAAGAACACAATTTTACTCCAATATTTAGCAGAGGTTGGCGGTGAAATGGCTACGTAGAAAGTGTCAAAACAACCTTAGGTAAATAGCCCGTGATGTCTACTTTATATAAATATATACTTTTGTGTGGCAATTTTGTTTTCTTTTATGGCTATTAAGCTTACAAGACAAACATACCAAATTCTAAAATCGCTCCACATTAAAATTTTATTTTACTCCTTGTGCTTTGTGACCTGTAACTACCAAAAAAAACTTAAAATCCCAGACACATTATATATTCTGTAAATCAGAACAAATAAATAAATTTATTTTTAATTACTTTCCTTAACCTGCACTAATTATGCACACATTATTATTGCAAAAACTGTAAAAAAAAACCAATATTTTTCATTTTTTTTGCATTTTTCGGTATTTTTTTTATAATAAGTAAACATTTATATATATATATATGTTATATCAAATTAAAGCCCTTTCTGTCCTTTAAAAAACAGTATATAATATGTGTCGGTGCAATAAATGAGAGAGAATCTCAAGAAAATGCAAAAATTGCTTGTGTCATTAAGCGTAAGTCAAGCTTCTGAAGCTGTGTCCTTAAGGGGTTAATAAAGGCTTAATCAAACAAATAAACAATACATATACATTTGAAATAGGCTAGTATATGTTGCTACTAAAACTAATCATTGACTGAATGGAAAGTAGGCTAAATTAACATAGTAGAACAGGCATAGACATGTGATACAGTTACCACTCCATTGATGAGCAGCTCAGAGTAAGAGAGAGGGTGTGTATAGTGGGGAGAGTGGAGAGAGGAGAGAGAAGGTGAAGAGAGGTAATTCAAAGAGAGAGAGAATGTGCTATTCACAGTGCTTTAAACAGGTTAGCCCCTCCTTCTGCTGGACACACCTCCCTTAGTCAATCCCTTAGGATGTAACAGAACCAGAGTGCCTCCTGGGGGAAGGGGGATTGCATTGGAAGGGAATGGAGGAGGAGTTTATCAACAACCCAACTGATTTTGCCTGGTGAAAGGCCATGTGCTTCACAGAGGACTCCATTATTGCCTAAGGGTAGAATGGGGGCTTGAATCCCTGTATTAGAACACAATAACACTTCATTGGCATACAGTTTGGCTGTTAATCACATCCCCCCACTTATTACACGTGTACTACATGTTAATCGAAGTCTTTCCTTTCCTTCCTGGTTATCTACAAGACTAGGCTTCATTATAATATCTCGCATAACATAATCAGTTACCAGAAACAACATGTTAACTCTTACTGTCAACGATTCCCTAGACGCTCGTATTTCCCATATCCAAGGTATACCTGGAGTATTGTTTTTTTAAGAGGAATTCTGGCTCTAAATGTATAAGCCAATATTGAATTGTATAAAGTACCTCACCACCTCGTCCTCACGTTGTTACTGAAGTTTGTGCAACGTTCACATACATGTCATCTGACCAATTTACCATTTCCTCTCCATTAACTACAATCATGATATATGCATTTTGTAATATGTTAAGTTCCCATGATCCCGTTTTTACATTGTCTTGTACAAATGAACCTTTGGTCCAACTAAATAAATCATTAGGACCTATTGTAATGTTTACATTAATAACACTATCTCCTGTGAAATTAATTTGCACATTGCATACTTGTAGATAGCCATCTTTTGTCCCGAAACAAACATGACCTTTTAATACTTCATTGTCTCTCTTTTTTCTAATATTTCCCAATAAGTCATTCTTTAATTCCTGATTGAAAGTCGTTTTGTTCATCTTAAAAATAACTATTACGGAGGGCGGAGCCTAACTGTCAATGGAGTAGGACGTGTGTTGCCTCAGCTCTCTCACCCCGGGCACAAAATCCGCATCCATCAGCCTCCACTAAGGTGCCAAAAAGCGACGAAACTACCCACAGACAGCGAGCACACTCACCCATATGGGGGGCTCTAAAAAGAAAAGGGAGTCAACCCCATCAGTAGCCACGATGTTCCGCACAAAAGAAGATAGGCAGCCATCTTGGGCCCAAAGCCAGGAAAACTCCGGCGCAGACTCGGAAGAGAGCGAGCACGAGAGCACCCATGCGTCACCCCTCACTCAAGAAGTCCTTCGGAAAATGCTGAAAGAAACTTCGGCAGACATCAAGGCCTATACCACTGCAGCCCTCGAAAAACAAATAGCAGGCCTCAAAGGTGACATTGAGGCGCTGGCCTCACCAGCGGTGACACCGAACGCACGCTCCAAGAAATGCAAACACAGGCGGCGGACCATGGCAGGGACATGGGGATACTAAAAGATAGAATCCTATTTCTGGAGGACGGAATGGAAGACCTAAATAATAGATCCCGGCGGCAAAACATACGCATAAGAGGCCTAGCAGAATCTGTCATGCCGGAGGCTATACTCCCCACCATCACAGCAGTATTCCAGTCCCTGCTGCCGGATAACCCAGGGCAAAACATCTATATCGAAAGGGCCCACAGGGCACTGAGACCCCCCTTCCCCAACTCAAATACACCAAGGGACGTCATCGTTAAATTGCTACACTTCCCGGTAAAAGAGCAGCTCATGAAGGCAGCCAGGGATCGCCCACCAGTCTACCAGGGGCAACAGCTTCAATTCTACCAGGACTTGGCCCCCTCAACGCTAAGAAAACGGCGGGATATGAAGCCCCTAACTACAGCTCTGCTTGAGGCCGGCTGGCGCTACACCTGGGGGCACCCCTTTCGCATAACGGTTAAAAAAAGGGGACCAAACTTCCTCTCTTCACCAAGTCTCAGATATGCGAGACTTCGCGACTCACCTGGGGATTCAGCTGCGGTACCCGACGGCGGACCCTCAACTCACCATAAACGAAAGTTCAGGCCGCCGAAGTGATTCCCGCGCAAACATGGCGCGCACGCAGCCGAAGAAGAAAGCCCCGACGGCCTCGCAAGAGCACCCACACAGGGACACCTGAACGGCAGCGCTCGATGCGCACAGGACTCTACCATAAACCATGCCCGAATTTGGGCATTTACGCCAAAAACCGGGTACACGGACGTTAAAAACCACTGCACAGCCGGTAGTATATATGTTGTTAAATGATGTTATGCCCCAATAGGGGGTTAATGATTGGTTACTGTTTATGCTAGACCAGTTCAGTAAGTCTGCCACTACAGGGAACACATAAGGCTCGGGGGGATGGGGGGGAGGTGGGCACCACCCCTGCAAAATGCAGAACAGCATACCCACTCAGGGAGCCATCAAGGGAAGGGACCCCCACACTGTGACCAAAGCACTTATACCCTAAAAGAATAGCCGGATAGCCGGAAACATGCGCCTCTAGAATGAAGTCACACTGATAGGTATCAGACAAGGCTGAAACGCTGAAAGGCACACAAACGCAGGGTACACTTTTCAAACTACAAGACCAGCACCCGCAAAATGCAGGGCACACAACCTCCCTAAACCTAGCACCAAAAGCTAACCGCAACAATGGACTTCAGCAGCAACCCCGCATCAAGCACAAGATGCGCAGACTACCGAGCACAGTTAGCACACACACTACACTCTATTATGCAGACAAGCAACCCAGAGACAGATAGACAGAACAAAGACCTCACAGTTTACATCTGGGACTCAGGGGGCACTGAACCCTACAAACAGGGGAACGCTGAGTATCGGGCAGAGGGCATGGGACACAATGCAAAACTAACTCCCTCTAAATACCCACCCGAAGCCCGGACTCTCATAACACACCACAGAATAGCGGGGGCCACGACACAGGCACAAGCAGGAAACTCAGACTAAACACCTGAGATTAAGCCCAGGCCCTGCAAACGGCACTCGCAAACAACCACCGATGCCCGGAGGGTCTCAAGCCCTAAAGGCAGAAAAGGGAGGGGGCCTCACAGCCAAACGCAACGTCAGGAAACCTTACACTACACCAACCAGGGTTTAAGGTCCAAGACTACACTCCCAAAAAGAAAACAAGGGGTAACCGAGAAGGGCACGAAAAACCCCACTAAACAGAGGAAACCCCCAGCAATAGCTAAACCCGGAACACAACACGCACAAATCATACCCGGGGAAAACAGGGGCCAGACAGAGGGGGGACAAGGGGAGCCGTCGCATGTCATTAGCACACACAGAGCGAGGCCCCCCATCGCAACCCGAACTGACCTAACACACCCACCCTGGGCACACGATGCAAGGCCACCAAGAGCCAAGGTTACATTTGAAGTTCATGGATTTTTTATATGTTGTTTATTTCTGTTAAAGTTACGACACAAGTGTCACACCACCTCCCCAAACGAACCCTGGCAGCCTGACGACAGAACACCAGCCCACATACTGGACCACAAGGGCCGACAGACGCGGACAGGTTAGTCAACAATATTCACCAGCCTCGACTACAAACACGTCACAACGCACGCAAACACACAAGCATCATACTGCCGCAATACAACCACACACAAGACGACCAACACCAGAAGAATAAAGACAAGCACCGAAATCTACCATGAACAAAACCCCACACTCGGACACTAGCATAATAGATACCACACTGGACAACTCCAAAACAAACGCAAAAGCCCCAGATTTACACCAAGCATACAAACTCTAGAAACAACCTGGTACCAGCACAGAGCAAAACCACATAAAACCCCTCCAAATGCACCACACCCACGGAGCAGACACCACACACCCGGGGTAGAGGAGAGAGCGTCACACAGTCACTCTACTTTCCTCCCCACAAACTCCAACGACCACATACCACTATCCACATTTGAAACACACCAAAACATATAAGCACCCACACTCCAACACACACTAAATTTGACCACCCTCGAACGCGACTCACACCGCCCACCAGACGCCTGGCAACTGACCTGTAAGACCAGGCCCCACCTGACACCCCCACCTACCAGCTCTACTGGTACAACCCCTCCCACACCACACACACACCTCCTCACATCGGCACTTCTCACCATCACCCCACCCCAACCCCCCCACCCTACCTACAACTCCCCCACACACCACATACTAATGCAACCGCACACAAGAAGACAACGCGCACGCAAAGGCCAGCGTCGCACCAACCAGCATGCCAGCCACTCTGACCTGCCTATCAATCAACTGCAAAGGCCTGAACAGCCCCGCAAAAAGACACCAGCTTATGAGATGGGCAAATAGAACTAAAGCAGACGTACTCCTCTTACAGGAAACACACTTCACGCAAACCAAACAGTTCCCCCTCCTGAGCCGACACTATAAAGTAAACCACTTCGCCAGCTCTCCACAAGAAAAACATAACGGGGTAGCCATCGTTCTACGGAAATCATGCCCCCTTGCCATACAGCGGACGGTAGCGGACCCACAAGGCCGATTCCTCACAGTCGCAGGCAAGATAGGCACACGCTCCTACGCTTTCACCACTCTGTACGCGCCAAACACCCCAAGTAGCTCATTCTGGCAGACAATACAAGCACACCTAGCTCTCTTTCCCTCCCACCACTCCATAATAGGCGGCGACTTTAACGCTACCCCATCACCCACGGTAGACAGACGCTGATCGCATCCATATAGGCAAAGAAGACAACCAACAGCGAAAGCAGACAAACTCTTTTCTGCTTTCATCTCCCGCACACGCCTCATAGATGCATGGAGAGCGCAGAACCCCACAACCCTAGATTACACCTTCTTTTCGCACCCACACCAATCACACTCCCGCATAGATCTTTTTCTCATATCACCATCACTGGCGCCTATGACCAAAAACACATCAATAGGCCCCATCACATGGTCGGACCATGCTGAAATAACACTGACCATTAACCTGCCAGGAACGGCGAGACCCTGGACATGGCGCCTAAACCCACACCTCCTACACAACCCACTAATCAGACAAACGATTGACAAAACCATAACAGACTACTTTCAAATCAACAAAGGCACGGCAACCTCCGAAGGGAACCTATGGGCAGCACACAAAGCTGTAATCAGGGGAGCCTTAATCAACCGAGGTGGCCCACCTCGAACAAACACTGCAGACCCTAAGAACCCTGGAGGCAAAACATAAAATAGATCCAACACAAGAGCTCAATGAGCAAATCATAACATGCCAAAACAAGATTAAAGAATACATGGCGAAAGATTCAACCAAAGCGTTACTCTGGACAAAACAGCTATATTACGACAAGGCTAACAAAGCTGACACGTTACTCGCCCGCAGACTCAAACAAAGAAGCGAAAATAAACAGATACACAAAATAACTACCCCGAGAGGGGAAACCACAGAGGACCCAGAGAGAATCGCCGGAGTCTTTCAAGACTACTTCAGAACCCTATTCGACCACACCCCTGAAACACGACAACACCCAATGTCAACCAAAACACTAATAGACCATTACCTAACCCAAATTCCATTACCTTCCCTATCCACAGAAGCGGCACAGGTTCTTGCCAGCCCCATAACACCAGAAGAACTCGCAGGAAAGATAAAAGCACTCAAACCCAACAAAAGCCCTGGCCCAGACGGGTTCACTGGGCTATACTATAAGACATTCGCCCCCATCTTGATCCCACACCTCTGCACACTATACAACGCCATACTACAGGGAGACCAACTACCGAACGACATGCTACAAGCGAATGTATGCCTCCTCCCCAAGCCCAACAAAACAAACCTCGAACCTGGACACTATCGTCCAATCTCACTCCTCAATGTGGATATTAAATTATTCACCAAAACCCTCGCGGACCGACTAAGCCCCAACCTACCCAAACTAATACACCCAGACCAAGTGGGCTTCATACCGTCACGACAGGCGAGCGATAACACAAGACGTACATACAACCTCATTTGGACAGCCCACACGAGACGCATCCCAACTCTCTTCCTATCATTGGACGCCGAAAAGGCATTTGACAGACTGTTATGGCCCTTCCTATTCGCCACCCTAGAGAAATTCGGACTCCCGCAAAGTTTTATAAATGCCCTACAGGTACTCTACGCCACACCACAAGCACATCTCCTCCTCCCTCTCACACACCCCCCGACCTTCACAATCCATAACGGTACACGCCAGGGGTGTCCACTTTCCCCAGTACTCTTCGCACTGTCCCTAGAACCACTCCTACAATCTCTCAGACTCAACAGGGACATAAAAGGAATGAAAATACGTGAAGAAGAATATAAAACGGCGGCATACGCAGACGACTTGCTCCTTACAATCACAGAACCAGCAACATCCCTACCACCACTCCTAGACGCCCTAAAAGCATACGCCGAGGTCTCGGGATACAAGC